AAGAAAAAAACAAAGAACAGAGAAAAAAATGTAGTGTTTTTATATAATGAAGTATTACTCAGCTATAAAGAAGGGTAACTTCAAGGCTTTTATAGGTAAATGGAAGCAACTAGAGACCATTCTCGTAAGTGAAATAAATCAGACTCACATGTGTAAACATCATATTGTCTTCCTACAAGCTGAAAAAGTAAATAGGATCCAAAATGTACAACAGATAATGTAAAATGGGAAGAACTTTCAAAAGCAAAGAGAAACTGGGATTGGAAAATGGAGAAAAGGAAAAACAATACACACACATGCATATACAGATGATAGTTAAGATAGTTTTACTACTAATTTCTTAGTTCATTGAAAAGAAAGGTCTGTGCTAGTATTGTCTGCACAATTAAATGCTAATATTTTACACTCTGAGTAACTAATTTAAAGATAACAATACACAATGTATTAACCATTGTTACTCTCTTATTATCTTGTTTTGAAATTTTGTTATTTCCTTTTTTCTTTAAAATAAAGAAAAGGGAGAATATGGCAGACAGATACCAGCAGCTACAGAGGCTCTCTGAGATATCCCACATAAAATCCAGGAATGGTGCGGGGCAAGAAGTCCTAAGCAAGGGGAGATATATACCCTGCTGACCCAGGAATGAACTAAACTAAGAGAAAACAACTGGAAACACAATCCCAGTGCTATAACAGGAGCAGATAAGATCTCAGCATGGAAGCTGGAGCCCGCACCACTGGAAGCCGCAATTTTAATTTCCTGCAGCCGCTGCTGTGTCCCAATCAGCACGGCAAGGAGAGGGTCGCGCAAAAGCTCTGAGAGTGGAAAGCGGTGAATGGAGTTGAGAGCGGGACTGGCTGGGAGCCCTACATCGACCTGTCGTGAGTGGATTGGGGACCCTTCCATAGAGTAGGAGGCTTCAGCAAAGGACATACTAGGACTGGGCAGACTAGCCGGAACAGGACGCTGCAGTGTCCTTAGTCACATATTCCCCTCTCAAGCGGGATTGGTGGGGAGTGCCTGGCCTGGGTGTCGCCGCTGACTTAAGACCCAGTAGGCTAGCCCAAACCAGGTCCCAGCACCTGGAGGTGCACCCTAGCAGTGAAGCCTTCAGTAGGTTGACCTGGAGGGGTGGGCCAAGCATAGGCTGCTCAGGTCTGTGTCTCCCTAGTACACTGCAGTGGGTGGGAACACCTAGCCAGCGTGATTCAAACAAACTGTAACCGACAAAGAAAGAAACTGGGCCTCCTATACACACTTGTATAGCAGGAACAAAAAATATGGGAAGAGGGAGCAACAAGAAAGGCTCCTCAGCCCCCAATCCTGAGAAACATGCAATATCAGACACGACACCAACAGACATAAAGCGTTATCTCCAGAGCCTATAGACGAGTTCAGGAATGAAGTTATTAACGACCTAAAGCAAGATATAAGTAGAATAGTTAAAGAAATGCTAAGCACCGCCCAAGAAAAAACAGATAGTGGAATGGAAGAACAGAAAAAAAGGGGAGAATTGTTTGATGGAGAAAATAGAGAAAACATAGAATACGTGAAGCAGGTTCAAAGAGATTACCAGGAAACTAAAAACTATCGAAAGCTGGCATAACAGCTTGAAAGAAACTAAGGATAGATTATCTGAACTGGAGGGAAGATTTGTAATGTGGGAGCATGAAATGAAAAACTTCTTAAAACTAACAAGAAAACAAACAGCAGTAATACAAAGGCTAGAAGATGATAAGAGGATCTATAACTTAAGAATTAAGAACATAAAAAGAAGAAGTAGGAACACAAACAAATGGACTACAAAAGCTATTCTCAGAAATAATCCAAGAGAATTTCCCTAATTTAGCAAAAGGTAAAGATACTCAGATGTATGAGGCATACAGGACCCCAGCCACCTACAACCCAAACAGAGCTACACCCAGGCATATAATAATCAAAATTCCAGAAATCCAATATAAGAACAGAATATTACAAGCTGTCAGAGACAAGAAACAGATAACTTACAAGGGAACACGCATCAGAATTACAGCAGACTTCTCGGCACAAACCATCAAATCACGAAGAGCATAGGGGGAAATAATTCAAGCTTTGAAAGATAATAACCTCTAGCCAAGATTGATATATGCTGCACAACTGTCCCTGGAAATGGATGGAAAAACAAAGTGTTTCCAGGATAAAAAAGAGCTAGGGGAATTTGCAACCACCAATTCAACTCTACAGAGAATACTGCAGGATATTCTAAAAAAGGAAAATACCAAGATTCCAGAAATAGTGGCAGAGAGGCCACAATGAATGGAGCAGAAAGAGAAATGAAGAAGACAAACTGACAACAAACGACAGAAAAAGAGCTCAACAGAAATGAGGCAGAGAGGATTGGATGGTAGGAACAGCTATTTTGGAGAAAACCAAGACATCATAATAGCTAGTGCTGATTTAGTATCATCTGGCTTTGAAGTCCCATAAAGCTTTTATTCTTCTGTCTCCATTGGTCTTAACAGGTTGTATCCTATTGGATTTTATTATATGTGATAATATAAGCAAAAACTTTTATAGACAAGATTATCCAGAAACCATTGTTCATTTTCTGTTAGTTGGCTCTAAATACCCTGTAACAATGTCATTCTCTTGAATGGTTTTACATTGTCTGGATATGTTTGGTACTGCAGTATACAAAGTTATACTCAAAGATTTCAAGGAAAGAGACACTATGGTAACTACTTTTTTGTCAGGATATCTTGTGGTGAAACACTATTTTGCTTAAATGGTTATGTTTTGACCTGCGCTGTTTTGTTGTTATGCCCTCTTTTATCTCAATCTCCTTTTTTTAATTATTTACTTTTTTCTTTTTATCTTTTTAATTAAGGGAAAAATAAAAAATAACAGAATAAATTATAGTAACCTACTTTGATTTCCTATTAACTTGATTTGAAACCCTGTATTGCCCTCACCATCTTGTTTCGACTGATTTTCCCCTATTCTGCTTAGCTTGATAGTACCAAGTTCGAAAGTATAGGCAACTGTGAAGACAATAAGATTCATTATGATGCCCATTCTGGTTGACTATTATCTTCTTTTAAAGTCCTGTAATGTCTCCAATGTTTTGGTTTTATTCTTTACTGTTTTGTTCAATTTTATTATAACTGATGATATAGGCAATTCTTAAGACAGCAAGAGGCAGTATGGTAACCACTGTTGATCACCCTGTATTTTGTTTTTACAGTATCTATTATGTCCATCCTTTTGATTTGACTGACTCTGTTCTGATACTCTCTCCGAAAAAAGTAATAAGAACTGTGGGAGTAATAAAATCCAAAATGTGTAATTGTCATTGTAAAAAAGAGAAAAGAAAGTGCTCTAAAGGGTGTAACTGCATGTATATTTAAACGTATAAGATAGATAATCATATTACTGAGTTTTGTTGGATCAATGAACAAAACTGTTTGCACTCTCACTGTTTGAAAGTCCACTTTATATGCTTTAATTTTGTAACTTGAACAACTATTTGTAAGATGAGAATATGTAATCTATTAACTAGTGATTTCTTACTGTTTATTTTTTAAATTTTGTATTACTTGTACCCTTTTTCTGTTTTTTTTCCTCCTTAAATAAAACTTAAAAAAATTAAAAAAATAAAAAAAAAAGAAAGGGAGAGAGAGAGAGAAAAGGAAGGGAGAGAGGGAGGGAGGGAGGGAAACTGTGAAGACTTCCGATTCTGTCAAGCATAGTGGCACACAGGTGCTATCCTGGCTACTCAGAAGGCTGAGGCAGGAGGATTGCCTCAGGCTGGCCTTGAAAACCCCTGGGCTCCGGTTATCCTCCTGCTTCAGCTTCCCAAGTAGCTGGGACTATAGGTCCAAACTGCTACAACCAGCTAAAAATTGTCAATAATTTCAGATATGAAAATAGTATTGTCATGTATTTCTAGTGTGTCTATAGACTTGTGCTGGCGTATAGACCGGTGAAATGGTTTGGCACGTAATTTTGGTCTCAAAGCAAAAGGAGGGACAAGGAAAGAAAAATGAGGAGGTAGACTGAAGTGCAAATGGCTGAAGGAGGTTGATGGGGACCTGGGTCTGTTACAGGGTCCTGTCTCTGTAACTATGTGAGGTGCTCTATACCAGAGGCTTTTGAGAAATGTCCAGGGTAGAGGAAGTGGCCAGGCCAGAAAGGCAAACTGATGGGGCCACATCTGAGCTCACAGGCTTGGGGGACTTTCTGAATCTATCCCCTCCCACCAGCGAAGCCAGGGCTGGAGAAGCAAATCTCGTGACTGTGATGAGGCAGCGGGGCCACAGTGCAGAAACTTGATACTATGGGTTGACTTTATCTGTCCCCTTCGAAACTTGGGCTGGAGCTTGATCTTTACAGGGAGGAGAGGAGGGTGGGAACTCAATGCAACTGCAGTGCTGAGGGGGCATCCGGACTGGACAAGGTTGGAAACCCCATGGCTGATCCCACAAGGAGGTCATTAGATGCAGCTGGGCAGCCTCAGTTCTCCAGAGCTAAAAGCCAAATAAATTTCCCTTCCTGTCTTATCAGCCTGTAGAGTCGTATTACCAGCTACAGGGCAAGGGAACACACCCTCACTAGAGTGAGTACCAGCTGCCTTTCTCCTGTCCTCTAGCTCACACCTGTTACAACTCCAGCACTGTAGGTGATGGCAGGATCAGGGTGGGTAAGCTCAGGATTCAAACTGCTCAAGCTCACTCCTCTCTGCTGTAGGCTTGCCCTGAGCTTGGAAAGAGAAAGAGCCAGTCCTTGGAAACTGAGACAGAAGAATAGTTCAGGCTACATAGTGGGTTCCTGACTAGTGTAAATTACTTAACAAGACCCTGTCACAAAGACAGCGAGAAAAAAGGAAAGGGAAAGAGATACAGCTCAGGGGCACAGTGGCTGCTTGGAAAGTGCAAGGTTTTAAGTTTGATTCCCAGTGTGGGGGGAGGCAGAGATAGGCCCATAGTAACTGTGTCTTGAGGTCCCTCCCAGCCCTGCTCACCAATCAGCAGTTGCACAATGCTGGAGCCAGCATACTTTCTCACATCCTCAATCCAATGGGGCACAGACAGGAAGGTGCTCCTCTTGGTGATGTCGTAGGCAAGGATGGCCCCATTGGCACTGCGGTAGTAGCTCTGGGTGATGGTGCGAAACCGCTCCTGGCCAGCTGTGTCCCAGATCTGCAGCTAAAGAAACAAGGCCTCTGCTGAACCCTGGTACATGCTGAGCACAGGGGGCAGGGAGCTACCACACAAAGCACCAGCTCCACTGACCCATGAGGTGGCACACAAGGACCTGTCTTCTGGGACCAATCTTGGGGAAGAAAGGAGGAAGTAAAAGGAAGGCAGGCAGCCCTAACTTTTAACTTTAGGGTCCTCCAGGAAAAGAGGACAAACATTGTAATCCCAAATATTGAGTTTAGTTATCCATGTATTGCAATCCTCTTTTTAGTTTTTCTCACAATCCAAAAAGTTACATTTGTAATCTCACGGAGACATTATTGGAATTCCAGCAAGTTAATTTTAATCTATCACCAACAACACAACCCATAGCAAGAGTAAAAACACCAAGACATATTCCCAGTTAAGGGCAGCCAAGGGGTCTTAAGTCCAATCTCCTTGAGGCATTCAGACAAAGGCTCTGATAGTAGGCCTCTCCCAGAACTTATTATCTTGTGAAGAAGGGGAGTGGCTCAGGGATAAGTGACAGTGAGGATGGTGGGAATTTTATGAGTAACTTGAACTGGCTGGCCAGGTGAGAGAAAGGCACCTCTATAAATCACAGAGATAAAGATATGTACAGAAGAATCAATTTACATAATCTAATTAAGTAGCAACTAAATTGTTTTGAGAGGCTTTTAGTTTTTGATATGTAAACTCTTGTGCCCTAGGGAGTCATAGTCTCTTTACCTTGAGGCTCATACCCAGTTGACATTTCCAGAACTGACTGGCTCTAACATCCCACTGTGCTCAACTTCTATACCGAGAACACTATGGGAGGAAACAGGACTGTCTGTTGGCCTTAGAGATTACATATCAGCACTTTGGCTACCCTCATTTCCAATGCTTAGAGCCAGTTAAAGAGAAAAGGAAATGCCATAGCCAGCTCTCTACATATCAGTATAATAAAATGTCTCCAAATAATCAAAGTTGCAGTAATTGTTTTGCATTCAAGGGAGTCACTAGAGTTGTCTCCCACAATAAACAAACAACACATTGTAACCTGGCCCAATTCTCAGCATGCCCATGAATCTGCAGTGACAGTTGCCTCCAGGGATGTTGCAAGCATGAACATCTGGATCCCTGCCCACTAAAGGCATTAGGCCTCTCCAGCACACAGGCTTCCCCAAAGGTCAACAGCCCAGAGCCTGCGCTAGAGTAGCAGGCACCTTCTGGGGTGATGGCCGAGTCCTGGAGTGCCTTTAAGTACAAGCCTGCTTCTATCCATCAGGTGACCCAGGGTGGCCAAAGCAAACAGCTAGGTGACTTCACTTAACCAATGCCTGCTAGTGCTCTCTGCAGAGCCCCTGCTGGTACGGCTGTGGGAAGAAGCTGCCTGGCTTCCTTTGACGTATCTTTGTGCAGAGCAGGCCTGGAGAAGGGGTCTGGGTGGGATTCTTTTGTTTTTTTGAGACAGGGTCTTGCTATACGTAGTCCACACCAGCACTGAACTCACTATGTAGTTTAGGCTGGCCTCCAACTTGTGGCAATTCTCCCACCTCAGTCTCCTAAGTGCAGGGATGATAGGCATGTGCCACCATCCCTGACAGGAGGCGGGGCTCTTTGTAGATGTAGGAGTTTATGTGCCACACAGAGCTGCAGGGCACTTTCCTCCCTGTCCTTCTCCTCCTCAGCTAGTGCCGGCATGCTGGGGACCACATCTCACAGCAAACACTCCAACAGCTCTCTGGCACTTCTTTATCCAGTTCTCCAGGTCCAGAGGAGACAAGTCCAGAGGCCATAGACCAGTGGTGGCAATCCTATGGCATGTGTGCCGCAGTGAGCACACAGATCCATTTCTGTCAGCACCAGAGCCAACTCCCCCCAGCAGCCCAAGTATTGGATGTTCTGCTGGAACACTGCTTAGTTGCAGTGTTGGCACTCTGTGATAGACAAGTGGGTTTGGGGTTGCAATTTGGGCACTCATTTTCCAAAACATTCACCATCACTGCCCTTGGCAGACTCTGAAAGCAGGGCATGGCCCTGGCCTTGGCCCTGTGGTGGCCACTGCCCTAAGTACAAGCAGAGGCTTAAAGCATTGGCCACAACAGGCCAAGGAGCCTCTCTCAAGAATTTCCTGTTGATGCTTCAGCCATCAGAGGCTCCACCTGGAGCCCTGATTCTGCAGTTCCTAGTGCCCCCAGTTCACACAGGGATTAGAGGAAGCGAAGGTTCCTCTCTATCCAGAGGGGAACATGGAAGAGAGAGAAAGAGCATAACCTGAGGAGAGGGCAAACTCCATAGAAGTAAGTCACCATCTCAGAACATCTGTATCTTCAGGAACAGGAAGAGAGCTATAAGATCAGGATGAAGAATATAGTACTGTCTTTTGTTCACAGTGCTGAGGATTGAACCCGGAACACACTGGACATGTGCTCTGCCACTATGCTATCCCCCAGCCTCAGGGCATGATCTTTTTAGAAAAGGGATGGCATTCTGCAAGAAAATAAAACCCTTGAAAATTAAAAATATATTAACATAAATGAAAAGTACAACACAAGGGCTGGAAGATAAAGTAGAAGAAATCCTTCGAGTAGAGGCAAAGCTGAGTATGGTAGTGTACACCTGTAATTCCAGCACTCTAGAGGTAACGCAGGCGGATTGCTGTGAGTTTGAGGCCACCTGGACTCCATAGTGAGTTCAAGCACAGCCTGAACCACATAGCAAAACCTTGTTTCAAAAAAATTTTTAAAAATAAGAACTTGTATTTATTTATTACACTGGGGATTAAACCCACGGGCTGTGCACTGAACTACATCACCAGCCCTTTACTGTTTTTTGAAAGTGTCTAAGTTGTTCAAGCTGGACTCAAACTTGTGATCCTTCTGCTTCAGCCTTGCAAGAATTATAGGTGTGCACCACCATACTTAACTTTTATTATATACATAATGCTTTAACATTTTATATTTAAATATATCAACATATAATACAAAGTTCTGATAATTTATTAATAATTTTAATATATCATAACTATTAATTAAACAATATACATTAAACAATATGTAGACCAGATAACAGTAAGGAAAAAACAAGCAGGATACCAGAATTGAACAAAAGAGTAAAAGTCATACCATGGTGATTACATGTATACCGATGTTTATAGCAGCATAATTCACAATGACTAAATCTTGGAAGTGGCCTAGATGTTAATAAATGCATGCATTCAGAATGTGGTATGTACACAAGATAGGATACTACTCTGTCATAAAAAGGATAAATTGGAGTTATGTGTAGGAAAATGGATGCACCTTGAGCCCATAATGCTAGATGAAATATACCAGGCGCACAACCTTAAATATTACAAATTTTCTCTTATGTGAGAAACTCAAAGTATAAATGTAAATAAAAGACAGATAATAGGAAATAAGAAATGGAACTTGCACAAACGGGAAGGGGATAAAAAGATAGAGAGAGGGGCTAGGGATGAGAACTTAAAAAAACCAAGATATGCGATGTCCACACTCCAACTACCCATGAGGAATGTACCATCGTGTACAACAAACATGCAAATAAAAACAAGCAGGGCAGAGCTGCAGGGTGTGGGGAATGTGGCTCTAATGAGGAGTGGTGGTGGCCTGGACAGGTAACCACTGAGCATGCTTCAAAGCCTAGAGTGCTGGCAAGCACTCTCCAGGGACAGACAGCAAGTACCAAAGACCTGCGTGCTGTGGGCACAGCCTGACTATCCCACAGACTCACAAGGCAGAAGTGTCAGTGTGCCAGTGCCTTTAAGGGGTGGACCTGTGGGAGAGGGGGAGAGGCAACATTGTGGGCGCTGTCCTGGGAAGGGGCCCTAGATGGTTCCCGTGACAATGGCTTACTCTACTAGAACACACCTCCTTCCCAGCTCCAGGCCTGTGTTACCAGAGCCCTCTGTCCCTCTCACCAGCATTCTAGCCATAATGCCGCTTGCTACATCACAGTGTTCCCAAGGGACACAAGGGGACCCACATAGGGAAGGGGCAGATGCTGGTGTCCTGCATGGATATCGGAAACTATGGGCTAAAAGGTCCCTTTCCTTCTTTTCCAGATAGTTTACTGCATCAGGGACTCTGTCACAGGAATGAGAATGGGTTGCTGAACCCTGAGGCAGCTCAGGAGCATAGTACAGAAACAAGGCAAAGACAGTATTTGGAAAATACTGTCTTATTTCCTATTATCTGTCTTTTATTTACATTTATACTTTGAGTTTCTCACGTAAGAGAAAATTTTCCATTTACAGAAAATGGAAACAAGGCAAAGACAGGCAAAGCAGAAGAGAAAGCAGGGTAAGCACAAGATGAGAGAGAACAAAGGAAGTGGTAGAGGCAGAAGCTCAGGGAGTCTGGGGCGCCTCAGGTCTCTTTGAATGGGATGCCTCTGATGGCTGCACGGAGGATGACAGAGAATGAGACGATACAAAGAGAACAAGGGCAGAAAGAGCACACCAGGGCCAGCATCCAGGTCTGACAGAATGGTTAAGACCAGGGCAGTAAAGGTTCAGAGAAGTGACCAAAGTCAGCAGATAGTTTGAAAATAAGGCTGCAAGGGACTGAATTCAGACTTAATCCACATCAGCAACCCACACTACTGGATGCAATACAAGGTTAAGGGACCATCCTTACAAAAGTTCCTTACACATGAGCAAGAAGTTCATGGATTATGCCTACAGCTGGAAAAGAAGAAAAAAATCAATATAAATGGAGAGGCAAAAAGCCTATCAACAAACAACTGGTCAAAAAAAAAAAAACTGGTCATGGCCCTCTGGAGGTCAAGAAAGGGTATCCTCAGATCTTGTAACAATCCTTCTAGAGCCAAATAACTCTTTAAACCACACACAGTGCTTAGTCTATTTCAAATAAAAAGCAACAAACTGACCACAATAGCATACACCTGTCACCCCAGCTATACAGACAACTGAGGCAGGAGGATTGTTTGAGCCCAGGAGTCAGAGGCAGCCTAGGCAACTCCATGAGATCCTGTCTCAA